TCTCTCTCTCTCTCTCTCTCTCTCTCTCTCTAGCACGAATAAATGTTTCGTTTTGCTTTGTTCAGTTTTTTTTTTTTGGTGCACTTGGCGCACTGCCGCGCGTGCTGTAATTCCAGCGCACAGCGCACTGCGCACTGGTGTGCCGCAACTCTGGAAAACAAGTAAATCCTCCCCATTGGGCGGTAATCAATGCTGCTGTCTCAGGATCTCTTGACCGTAACGGAGAGAACGGTGGAATGGGTACATCTGATCTAAGAGACTGGACCCGGCTTCTAGCATTCTTGATACAAATTTACGAAACCTAAAAAAAAGAACAAAAGAGCATAAGACCTCCCTACTATCCCTAGTGATGCTTTTTTTTTTTTTTTTAATTAATTTGCTCCATCTATTGGTGGGGAGCTTCACCTGCTGGAAATCGGGTCCAGCGTCTGCTCTGGCGTTTCAGGAAAAAAAAAAAAAAAAGGAATTCAGACTTGATGTCTCGATATCTTCATTTTTTTTTTTTCCTTTTTTCTTTTTTTTTTTAGAAACATCGCGGTCGGGCGTGGGGGAGGTGCTGATAAGAGCAGACACCCCCTCTACGCCCGCTGTTTGTAGACAAGGGTTTAGAAAGGAGACAAGAACTGGAAGGTCGAGTAGGTGAGGGTTTGCTTCGTACCTGTCTGGAAAAACCTGATGTAGACAACAGCATCCAGCCCCGCACTGTCCAGCAGGTCATCCTCTGAGGCATTGAATAATTCTCTCAACCACTCGAATGGAGTCCTGTATACTACGCCGGATGGAGGCCCTTTACCAGCTTGGAGTTTAGCCGGGAAGTAGACTTGGAGATTCCCTGGTCGCCTTACAAGAATGATGAATAGCACAATTAATACGGCAAGGATCGCCACATTGTATCCAATGTTAAGGACGAAACCTCCAGTAGACACCATCCTGGTTGCTCGTGAATAGCAGTTCTACCCTCCGGCCTGTTTGATTCACGTGCGAATCTTGCCTGGCCTGTCCACAATCCACCTGTTGCATACACTAAGAGTAACAACCTTTTTCCTATCAAACCTTCTTGGTCTGTGGTTTAAGCTGAGCCCAAAGTCCTCTCCTGCTGAAGAATAAAAACCTGAGACCTGACAGAATTGTCATCAGAAGTGAAAAATAATGCACAGGCCATTAGAAGTATGCTACTGCACGTTGCACAGCAAGATAAGATACATCTCTCTCTCTCTCTCTCTCTCTCTCTCTCTCTCTCTCTCTCTCTCTCTCTCTCTCTCTCTCTC